TTGACTTAGTATAGAAAGAAGTTATAAGCTGTTTTTAATTAATTAGGTTGGAGAGGGTTTGTGTACGAGTGATAAACAGAGAGAGTTCTTGATAAACTTTTATTTAAATTCTACATATCTGTATAATTTAAATAAAAAAAAGTTCATCAAATTTTGCTTGATAGATGTCAAGATATCTTTACTCAAAGTTTAAAGAAAAGTTTAGTGCAGCTCTTTTTGATAAATGGTTTAAATTTTTTAAATCTTTGGGTAAAGATATCTCAATACTTACCAAGTCAAATTTGATAAATTTTTTTTTTTTATTTAAATTCTACGAATCTGTAGAATTCAAATAAAAAAAAAAGTTTATCAAATTTTGCTTGGTGTGTGTTGTGATATCTTCACTCAAATTTTTAAAAAAAGTTTAGCAAAACTCTTTTTTGGTAGATATTTTAAATATTTAAATCTTTGAGTAAAAATATTATAATTCCCACCAAGCCAAATTCAATGAACATTTTCTTATTAATCAATAAATATTTAAATATAATAGAAATATGTCTCAATCTAAAAAAAAATCAACAGGCAGACCTCCTTCAGATATTTGGGATAGTCATTTTAAAAAAGGCAAAGAAGTTTCAAAAGGACATTATGAAGGAGCATGCAATTATTGTTCTTTTTTTCAAAATAAAGGCTCTCCTCAAGATTTTGAAGACCATCTAGCAAATAATTGTCCCAATGTTCCTAGTGAAATACAGCAAAAATATTTGAATAAGATTTTTGAAAAAATTAGAAATTCAAAAAATTCTTTAATCAAAAAAAAATACTCAAACAAAAATGAATGATTTTCTTGAAAGTTCTAAACTTACTCCTGAAAGAATAAATAAAATTAATAAAGCTTGTATTAAAGCTTTTGTTATTTGTGGAATACCTTGGTCTATTATTAAAAATCCATTTTTTGTTGATTTTTTAAAAACATTATATCCAGGATATACACCACCTTCTTATGAAGTTCTTTCAGGTCATCTTCTTTCTCAAGAAATAGCAACTATAAATTTAAAAATAATTCAAAAATTGAATTATTCTAAAAATTTAACAATAGGTATTTTAAAAATAATTCAAAAATTAAATTATTCTATTATAAAAATTTAACAATAAATATAATTTTTTATTTAAATTTATTTTAAAATTGAAACTAAAATAATTTTTTATTTTAAAGCATGTGATGGTTGGACCAATAGTTTAAATGAATCTATATGGAATTTTCTTATTTATATACCAGATCGTTGTGAATATTTATGGTATTTAAAAAATTTATCAAATGAAAGCCATACAGGTGTTTTAATTGCTAAAGAGATAAAAAAAATAATTGAAACAATTGGAAGTGAAAAATTTTCTGCAATAACAACTGATGCTGGTTCTAATGTTCAAAATGCTCGACAATTAATTTCAGCAAAATATCCAAATATTCTTAATCTTCATTGCATGCCACATGCAATAAATTTAATTTCAAAAGATATTTGTAATATTTCTTTTGCTAATCAAATTTTAACTAAATGTAATACTTTAGTAACCTACTTTAAAAAAAGTCATCAAGCTGGTATGAAAAATTTAAA